TTTAAGCACCTATAAGCCAGCATGGCGTACTGGTTTGAGTGGCACTAGGAGACCTGGGTTCGAATCCCGGGTCGGTCATGGAACGCCACTGGGTGACCTTGGGCAAGTCACACTCTCTCAGCCTCAGAGAATGGCCATGGCAAACCCCTTCTGAAGAAACTTGCCAAGAAAAACCCTGTGATAAGATTTTCACTTGAGGGTCGCCACAAGTCGGAAACACAACAAGGCACTCAACAACAACAACAACAACAGCAAACTGTAGCTGGGGCTAGCAATAGGATTCGGCTGCCCCACTGACAGCCAGCGTGTAGTAGTAGTGGTCTGAGTAGTGTTGGACTGCAACTTCAAAAGACCCGGGTTCGAATCCCGGCTCGGCCATGGAACGCCACAGGGTGACCTTGGGCAAGTCACACTCTCTCAGCCTCGCAGGATGGGCAACGGCAACAAATCCTCTGAACAAACCTTGCCAAAAAGAAAAAAAAAACCCAAAGAAACCGTGACAGGGTCGCCTCAGGGGCTTCATAAGTCGGAAACGAATCGAAGGCACACAACAACGACAACAACAGAAAGCCAGCGAGGGAGCGAAGGCCTGCAAAATGGAGGCCACCCTCCCCGCCTAGAAGCCACCAAAGACCGTCCCTCCCTCACCGGTGCGGGCCTCCCGAGGCGGGTTTTCCATCAGCTTCTTCAGCACCAAGGGGAAGGCCCCCGCCAGGCCCCGCTCTTGCTGTGAGGCGGCGGTGACAGCGTTCCCGGCCGTCGGCTCCTGAGGCGCGGTGCGGCTGGACATGCTATTCGCCGTTAAGGGCCGGCAGCCGAAGCCCGGAGACCCCCCTGGTCTCAAGGGGACTGAGGGCCCGAGACGAAGCGGGAAACACCAGCAGCAGCAGCCGGGAGAGGATTAAAAAAAAAAAAACCACACAAAACGATGACTGCGCATGCGCCACTTCACGCGGCCTCTCCTTTCCAAGGCCCCTCAAGGTATTTTATTATTCATCCGCCCTCAACGTCCCCGGCTCGCGCACCCTCCTCTCCTCCTCTTCCCTAGCGACGTGATTGGTTAAGGCCCACCTGAAGAGGCGGGGCCAGCCGAGTCGTTTTAAACAGCACGAGCGCTCCACCGATAAGCGGGGTGAGAGGCTTATTAGCATTCCAGCCCCGCCTACCCACTCACTCGGCTTTAAGGGCGCTCCTCCTCCTCCTCTCACTCACGCCTTCGCGCGCGTGCGCCCTCGCGGCTCTGAGTCTCAAAAAAAAAAAAAAAGCTTGGCAGCCGTCAAAGGCTCCCTCTTGAAGCTGTCGAAGTGACCAATAGGAAGAGGAGGCGGAGCCCTCGCTCGGCAAGGAAAGGAAATGGAAGGGGTTCTCTCAGGACAGGAGATGGGCGACGCCCTCAGAGGAGCCCGATCCTGACTGGCTCTGGAAATGTTGTTGTTGTTGTTGCTGTTATTCAGGTTGTGAGCAGATGTCCTCGCCTCAGAGGAGGACAAGGCACCACAACGTGTACAACATTCAACAAAAATAGAAGATATTACCAAATAAAAAGTTACAAGAAACACATATAGTACATACAAAATATGTATTCATGCTCCTGAGCCATGCTCAAAATGGAGGACAGTGTGGAATTCCTTCTGGACAGAAGGTTGAAATGGAGGACATGTCCTGGAAAAGGAGAATCTCTGGCCACCCTGAGCTAAAAACAAATATAAATGTAAACTCAGGCTTCTTAGTCGTGCTCAAAATGGAGGAGATTGTGGAATTCCTTCTGGACAAAAGTTTGAAATGGAGGACATGCCCTGAAAAAGAAGAATCTCTGGCCGCCCTGACCTTAACGCACTCATATAAATATAAATCCATGCATCTTAGTCCTGCTCAAAATGGAGGACATTGTGAAATTCCTTCTGGACAGAAGGCTGAAATGGAGGATATGTCCTGGAAAAGGAGGACCAAGTCTGGTAACTGTTGTTAGCTGCCCTCCCAGGTAAACCTCGACTCATGGCAACACTATGGATGAAACACTTCCAAGCCTCATGTCCTCCACTGCTCTCATTTCGTTGTGTGCTTCCAAGTCATTTTTGACTTTAATGTAATGTAATGTAATGTAATGTAGTGGCACTCCCATGTCTTTAAGAGCGTTCCATAGCTTTTCATTATCTATACCAGGGGTAGGCAACCTAAGGCCTGGGGGCCGGATGTGGCCCCCTGAGGCCTTTGGACTGGCCCCCCGCCGTTGCCACCCGCCATGATGATATTGATTATTGTTGTTATTACTTGTTCTTGGGGTTTTCTTGGCAAAATCTCCACAGGGGCTTTTCTGGGGCTGAGAGAGTGTTGCATGCATATTTTTTTTTATTTTAATTTTTAAAAAAAATATGTTTGCTTATTTATTTATTTATTTATTTATGGTGCTT